CCTCCACCCACCAGATGCCAGTTATGACAATCAAAAATGTTTCCAGACATTGTCTAATGTCTCCTGATCTGAGGAGAGCCAAAATACCCCCTGTTAGGTACCACTATGCTAGATTTTTTACTATTTCAACAGTTTTTGTAATTCAACTCTGAGATTGCTTTAATGGCACTGTTATGGCTTGCATTTCCTGTATCTTATCTCAGCAGATGTGACTCTCAAAAGCACTGATGGTGGCATCAAGGAGTTGAGAGTGACCTAAGAGATCTACCACTAGGCACAGGGGTCAATAAAGCTATATGGACACAAGCTCTGAAATCCTAGGCAGCAGTTAGATGTAAAGAACTGGATGGATGTAGAGCAACATGAGAATAACTTTAAAACATAATGTTATATCTTTAAAAACCAAGAGTTCGATAGAGTAATGTACATAAAATTTAAAATACAGATACACACAGAATAACCATACTGATTTTTAAAAGATACAGACCTACCAAAGGATAATAAAATTAAATTAAGGATAAAGGAAGCCACAGAGTACAATAGTTACTTAATAAGTGTGCCATTAATGGAAGAGTATAATTAAATCAACTTTTAGTACCTGTTGTCCAAAAAGAAAGAAAAAATGACACTGGATATCTCAAATTCACATTTTCACTAGAGGGTTAACATATTGTTACAGTGGAGTTCTTCCTGGCACTGAGTAAACTCATCATTTATGAGCAAGTTATGCGGCAACAACTCCTAGGCTTTAAGTTATGTGAATAATCATGAACTCATGACAGGAATTGAGCTGAACTTCTACAAAACTAACTGTGCTCCATTTTGATCACTTTGAGTAATTAAGCTATTTTGTCAACATGTAGAATTTATATTCTTCCTCCTTGAATAGGACCTAGAGTGTTGGCATATCACTCTTTGGCCTGGTAGAGAAATTGCTACCATTAAACTTGCTCTCAGGTAATGGGGAATATCCATGACTCATCTGTTGGCCAACATTAGCCCCTCTCAGGTTAGTAGGTAATGGTAGAGAGGACATTTCAGACATAGATGGCTCAGATGTTGAAGCTTTTCCTCCATTTTGTTATCCTATAGTGACGGTGTCCTGCTCCTTTCTTGAGCCATTCATTAAAAATGGCCAAAGGCATTGTTACCTGGCTTCATCATGAACTATGCAAGATTAATGAGTGGGAAAGATCTCCATGAATTTCAGTGTGGTAACACAGAGGTATAAATTTTACAAGAGTGACATTAAGACCCACAGCTGGCTTTGATGGTCCTATGGTAACTCAGACCTCTGAATGGTAGTTTTTTGCTGCAGAAAATGAGATGCACCACTCAGATCCCTTTGAGAAAGGACTCCTGCCCAGCTGCAAGCCTTGATTATTAGATAGCCTCTAGCTTTTATCTCTTTTGTTCTTATTCAGCCACTCAGTTGATCCAACACTTTGTGACCCCATGGACTGTAGCACACCAGGCTTCCCTTTCCTTCACTGTTCCCTGGAGTTTGCTCAAACTCATGTCCATTGGGGCTTCTCTGATAACTCAGTTGGTAAAAATCTGCCTTCAAATGCAGGAGACCCTGGTTTGACTCCTGGGTCAGGAAGATCCGCTGGAGAAGGGATAGGCTACCTATTCCAGTATTCTTGGGCTTCCCTTGTGGCCCAGCTGGTAAAGAATCTGCCTGCAGAGTGGGAGACCTGGGTTCAATCCCTGCGTTGGGAAGATCTTCTGAAGAAGGGAAAGATTACCCACTCCAGTGTTCTCACCTGGAGAATTCCACGGACTGTCACAAAGAGTCAGACACGACTGAGCAACTTTCACTTCACATGTCCATTGAGTCGGTGATGCCATCCAACCATCTCATCCTCTGTTGCCCCTTCTCCTCCTGCCCTCAATCTTTCCCAAAATCAGGGTCTTTTCCAATGAGTCAGCTCATCTCATCAGGTGGCCAAAGTATTGGAGCTTCAGCATCAGGCCTTCCAATGAATATTTGGGTTGATTTCATTTAGAATTAACTAGTTTGATCTTCTTCCTATCCAAGAGACTCTCAAGAGTCATCTCCAGCACCACAATTTGAAAGCACCAATTCTTCAGTGCTCAGTCTTTGTTACTGTCCAACTCTCACATCCATACATGACTATGGGAAAAGCCATAGCTTTGACTAGACGGATCTTTGTCAGCAAAGTGATGTCTCTGTTTTTATCTCCTTTAAGACCTCCCTTAAGCATTACTTTCAAGGTCTCTCTCCAACCAGGAAAGCCACAGATGAATGATTAATCAAGGCAGTGGGGCCTTGCCATTTCTGCCCAGTATGAGACTTCTCTAAAAGGCAAAAGTCCTTGTTTTTTGCCCAAAAGTCCCTCCATTAAATTGGCAGTTTTCTCAGTTCTGCATAGTTATCTGATGCCTCCAACCTGCCCAACCCTATTTCATCTCCTTTTATTTTGACAAGTAGTTTTCCTCCAACAAAACCTTTAAAATTTGTAACTCCATCTCAGATATGCTTCCTAGAGAATCCTCTTTGTGACACAGGTGATGCTGACAAAAAGTATCATTTATATATTTTCATATTCCTAGGGATCTTGGTCAGACTCTGGCAGAGGGTGAGTCTGAAAAAATTTCTAAAATCATATATGTATGTGTGCATATGTGAATTTTTCAAAAGATGTCTTATTTTTTAAAAAAGATTCTTTGAGATTTTTCTTCTTTCTTTGGGAAGGCCCATATTCCTTGCACATCCCTCTCAGTTCTTTTACTGTATCCCATAGATTTTTTGAGGCTATGTTTGTATTGTTGTTTGTCTTGAGGTATTCCCTGATTTCATTGTTGATTCTTTTTTTTTTTTTTTTTGGTAGTATGGTGTTTAGTCTTTACATAATTGTTTTGGTCCTTTTTTTCCTGGTAGTTGAAAAGATTCTTGAAGATGTCTGTCATATAGAATGATGATTGTCAACCTTTCCAGTATTCATCCTTCCCTTCATTTTTAGCTGAGAAAAAAGTTGGATTATCCATCTTGCCTTCCATCAAGGCATCAACAGATGACTATGTTATTAAATAAGAAGAGTTTATCTTCATCCTCTTTCCATCAACATGATGGCTAGGGCTTGATAAGCCATCTTGGAATATGAGATGGAAATCTAGTGTTAAAAGGAAAATCTATTTGAATCCTTCATCCTTGCTGATCATGGAGATCATGTTCTAGTTACAGTTTGCTTGGGTTTGCAGGAAAGAACAAATAACTACTACCTAATTTAAGCCATAGTTATTTGAAGTTTTTGGTCTCTTCCAGCTGAATTTAATCCTAACCTATCTAGGATCCATTGACACCAAAAAGTAAAAATTATGCAACAATTCATTAAATTAATCTACTTTGTAAACTTGTTGAGGTCGGAACTATCTCTCATTGTACCATACTGTGCAACATTATATCTGGCACCTTGTTGAAATTCAATATGCATTTTGATCTTGAAAAACAAATGGAAAATATCTGAGCCCCACATATTGTTTACAGATACATGTTTTGGCTTAAATCTTTTTCTTTAATTTGTTTCCAAACAAAGTGAAAGTCTCTCAGGCTATAAATCCCAGGAGGTGGGCTTTTGTCATCAAACAGTTGACTATGTCCCAAGATAATGATTTTAACCTGAGAATCTGATCTGGTTCTAATATTATTTCAGGGTTTATTTACACTTTATCCAATTATACAACTTTTAAAAATGGAATTTCCTCTTTATATTCGGAAAGATGCTCCCTTTACTGAGTCTCTGTGAAACAACTGAGCAGATGACAAGCGGTCTGTCCCAAGTTAGGGCTTTGACTTGGAAATCGCCACACATTGATGAGTGACTCCTTTCTTTATACTGGCCAAATCAAAACAGCCTAGGAGAGAGGAGCGCGGCCGCCGCCGCCGCCGCCCGCCTGCCCGCGCCGATGAAGCCGCCACTCCCACACCCTCCGTCTCCTCCCTCCGCCCCTCCTTTGTCTGCACCGCTCGACGACGCTGCCGCCGCCGCTGCCCGCGCAGGGACTGGAGGGATCCGCTCGCGCCGCCGCCGCCGCCCGCCGCTCTGCTGCGCCCGCCGCGCCCCCCGGCAGCAGCCGCGGCCGCGGCGCGAGCCGGAGCCCGCCGAGTTTTTATTTGAAAAACACTACATGGGAAGATGTAGGACTATGGGACCCGTCGCTTACAAAAAACCAGGACTATCGGACAAAACCTTTTTGCTGCAGCGCTTGCCCATTTTCTCTGCCTACAAAAGTCATTTCCGGAATGTCCATAGTGAAGACTTTGAAAATAGGATTCTCCTTAATTGCCCCTATTGTACGTTCAGTGCAGACAAAAAGACTTTGGAAACACACATTAAAATACTTCATGCTCCAAACGCCAGCGCACCAAGTAGCAGCCTCAGCACTTTCAAAGATAAAAGCAAAAGTGATGGCCTTAAACCTAAGCAGGCTGACAGTGTAGAGCAAGCTGTTTATTACTGTAAGAAGTGCACTTACCGAGATCCTCTTTATGAAATAGTTAGGAAGCACATTTACAGGGAACATTTTCACCATGTGGCAGCACCTTACATAGCAAAGGCAGGAGAAAAGTCACTCAATGGTGCAGTCCCCTTAGGCGCAAATGCCCGGGAGGAAAGCAGTATTCACTGCAAGTGATGCCTTTTCATGCCGAAGTCTTACGAAGCTTTGGTGCAGCATGTCATTGAAGACCATGAGCGCATAGGCTATCAGGTCACTGCCATGATTGGCCACACAAATGTGGTGGTTCCCCGATCCAAACCTTGATGCTCATTGCTCCCAAACCTCAAGAGAAGAAGGGCATGGGACTCCAATCGAGAATTGGTTCCCTCGCTTCTGGAAACGTACGGTCTTTGCCATCACAGCAGATGGTAAATCGACTCTCAATACCAAAGCCTAACTTAAATTCCACAGGTGTCAGCATGATGTCCAATGTTCACCTACAGCAGAACAACTATGGAGTCAAATCTGTAGGCCAGGGCTATGGCGTTGGTCAGTCAATGAGACTGGGGCTAGGTGGCAATGCACCGGTTTCCATCCCTCAACAGTCTCAGTCTGTGAAGCAGTTGCTTCCAAGTGGCAATGGAAGATCTTACGGTCTTGGGTCAGAGCAGAGGACCCAGGCGCCAGCAAGATACTCACTGCAGTCTCCAAATGCCCCGTCTCTCTCTTCAGGCCAGTTAAAGTCTCCTTCCCTCTCCCAGTCACAGGCATCCAGAGTATTAGGTCAGTCCAGCTCCAAGCCAACTGCAGCTGCCACTGGCCCTCCACCACCCAATACTTCCTCAACTCAGAAGTGGAAAATATGTACAATCTGTAATGAGCTTTTTCCTGAAAATGTATATAGCGTGCACTTCGAAAAAGAACATAAAGCTGAGAAAGTCCCAGCAGTAGCCAACTACATTATGAAAATACACAATTTCACTAGCAAATGCCTCTACTGTAATCGCTATTTGCCCACAGACACTCTGCTCAACCATATGCTAATTCATGGTCTGTCCTGTCCGTATTGCCGGTCAACCTTCAATGATGTGGAAAAGATGGCGGCTCATATGCGGATGGTTCACGTGGACGAAGAGATGGGACCTAAAACAGATTCTACTCTGAGTTTTGATTTGACATTGCAGCAGGGTAGTCACACTAACATCCATCTCCTTGTAACCACGTATAACCTGAGGGATGTTCCTGCTGAGTCTGTTGCTTACCATGCCCAAAATAACCCACCCATCCTTCCAAAGCCACAGCCAAAAGTGCAGGAAAAGGCAGATATCCCTGTTAAAAGCTCACCTCAAGCTGCAGTGCCCTATAAAAAGATGTCGGGAAAACCCTTTGCCCTCTTTGCTTTTCAATCCTGAAAGGACCCGTATCCGATGCACTTGCACATCACTTACGAGAGAGGCACCAGGTGATTCAGACAGTTCATCCAGTGGAGAAAAGGCTCACCTACAAGTGCATCCACTGCCTTGGCATGTATACCAGCAACATGACCGCCTCTACCATCACTCTGCATCTGGTTCAGAACGGCCAAGACAAAACAAATGCACCCTCGCGGCTCAACCAGTCTCCAGGCCTGGCACCTGTGAAGCGCACTTACAAGCAGATGGAGTTTCCCTTGCTGAAGAAGCGAAAGCTGGATGAAGATAGTGACTCACCAGGCTTCTTTGAAGAGAAGCCTGAGGAGCCTGTTGTTTTAGCTTTAGACCCTAAGGGTCATGAAGATGATTCCTATGAAGCCAGGAAAAGCTTCCTAACAAAATATTTCAACAAACAACCCTATCCCACCAGGAGAGAAATTGAGAAGCTGGCGGCAAACTTATGGTTATGGAAGAGTGACATTGCTTCCCATTTTAGTAACAAGAGGAAGAAGTGTGTCAGAGACTGTGAAAAGTACAAGCCTGGTGTGTTACTGGGCTTCAACATGAAAGAGTTAAACAAAGTTAAGCATGAGATGGATTTTGATGATGAGTGGCTATTTGAAAACCATGATGAGAAGGATTCCAGAGTCCATGCTAGTAAAACAGCGGACAAAAAGCTCAGTCTTGGGAAGGAAGATGACAGTTCCTCAGACAGTTTTGAAAATTTGGAGGAAGAATCCAATGGAAGTGATAGCCCTTTTGACCCTGTTTTTGAAGTTGAGCCTAAAGTCCCTAATGATAACCCAGAGGAACACATACCGAAGGTAATTTCTGAAGATGCTTTAGAATCTGAGAAGCTAGACCAAAAAGAGGAGGATGGTTCAAAATATGAAACTATTCATTTGACTGAGGAGCCAACCAAACTAACGCATGATGCCTCTAATAGTGAGGTTGACCAAGATGATGTTGTCGAGTGGAAAGATGGTGCTTCTCCATCTGAGAGCAGCCCTGGTTCCCAACAAGTGTCAGACTTTGAGGACAACACGTGTGAGATGAAAACAGGAACCTGGTCCAATGAGTCTTCCCAGAGTGAAGACGCAAGGAGCAGTAAGCCAGCTGCCAAAAAAAAGGCTACTGTGCAAGGTGACAGAGAGCAGTTGAAGTGGAAGAATAGTTCCTATGGAAAAGTTGAAGGGTTTTGGTCCAAGGACCAGTCACAGTGGAAGAATGCAACTGAAAATGATGAGCGCTTATCCAACCCACAGATTGAGTGGCAGAACAGCACAATTGACAGTGAGGATGGGGAGCAGTTTGACAACATGACTGATGGGGTGGCTGAACCGATGCACGGCAGCTTGACGGGGGTTAAACTGAGCAGCCAGCAGGCTTAAGGGCTGACCTCTCTGGCTTTGGTGACAAATGCTGCAGCCTGGAACTCTGTTCTCCTTTCAGTTATGACTGCAAAGCTGTGTTCTCACTGGTACTGCCTTTTGAGTGTTGGGTCATCAGGCGGTGGGGACATGTGGCCACTCCAATCCCAGTGGTTATTTCTAAGTCTGTGACACACGATTGGCTGATCTTGTTTTAGAATGCTCTGTGACAGACACAGTAACTAAATGTGAAAAACCAATAAGCTGGTGACTCATGAACGCACACAAGAAAAAGCAGAGGTTTGTTTTATCTGCCTTCTCAACATTTCTTTCCCTCTGTAAAACAGTGTCTGGTTGGACATCCTTGAGAAGCGTTCTCCTGATTAAAATGGTAGTGTAGGGCCAACACACAAGCTACCAGTCCAATGTGTACAGTAGACTTTGGGGAAATCAATTTTTTTTCATGTATTCATTCTGGATAGTTGAAATGTATATTTGTACAGTCTTTTAGACCTATTCAAGTGATGCTTATGATATTGTTATTGTGTACCCACCATAGATTTGTTTCTTTTTTTAGTGTTGCCCTTGCTGTGTAATAAGCCCTGTATCTAGTTGACCTAGCAAAAGCCTGAAACTACGCTAGTGTGGACTTCGGGACAGACTTAGTTTTTGCACATAACCTTGTACAATCTCGCGACAGAGGCCAGCCACATAAGATATATATCTGGACTCTCCTGTATTATAGAATTTTTCTTGTTCTGAATATCCTTGACATGACAGCTGACAAAAACAAAAACTGGCATTTCAGATATTTTCTGAAACCTTTTAAGCTAAAAATCACATGCAAGAATTGACTTTGCAGCTACTAATTTTGACACCTTTTAGATCTGTATGGAAGTGTGTTGTGTTGAAGCAGCAGACCGATGAGTGCTGCTTTTTGGATATTTAGTTTTATCTTTAGTTAAACACCACCCTGGTGTATTCATTTATACCATCTAATATATGACACACTGTTGTAGTATGTATAATTTTGTGATCTTTATTTCCCTTTGTATTCATTTTAAGCATCTATATAAATTGCTGTATTGTGCTTAATGTAAATACTTGCTTTCTTACACCTTCCAGTCCTGTGTGTCAGATAGGCCTTGGACCAGGTGATGCCATGGCTTCCTCGTCAGAGATGGAGGCACAGCCACTGAGGAGACTTGTGGAAGACCAAGAATGGCATGACAATTGCTTTCTCTCAAGGCTCCTGTTGCAAATTCTTTGGTTCAGTTTGGCTTTTGTCTTTTACCTTTTTAATCACTAAAATAAACATGCTTGAATTTTTTCAGTTAAAAAAACAAACAAACAAACAAAACAGCCTAGGAATTCAAAAGAGCTTAAGTAAGAATACTGAAAGCTGATATTTCATGACAACCACATCAAAGAATATTTCAAGATTTCTTTCAAGTTTTGGTATTCATCCACCACTTATTCTCAATCTATTTCCCACTAACCTACTAAATACCAACTCCAGGTTACATGTGAGGTTTAAAATCTCCCCAGTTTTCTACTGTAGAATCCACACATGTCATTAAGATAAAACAACCTCAGTTTGAACCAAGAGTCTCTGGCTAGTTTTATATCTTTTGGGGGGGAATCTGAAATTTGAGTAAAGCAATCATTTTAGTAAAAGCTTTGGAAATGAGTACTTTTCCTTTTATGGCAAATTGTTCCAGTCACTTCTGTGTTCTCTGGCAAGTTTAAACGACAGTTTAACCACTTTTGTACTTTAATCAAATCTTGGATAAGAAAAGTTATTCAAGGACATAGATCTAATGCTTGAAGTTCCAGCACTTTCCCCAGAATGAATTACAATCCCTGCAAGATGCAGGAAATAAAGTTACAAACCCTGATGTCTTAACTTCCTCCCAAGCCACTCTGATCACCCAAGAAGTCTCTTGAGGTTGGCAAGCTGTGTCAGCAAAGTCACACAAGTTTCTGCTTGTGCTGATTCTGCCCAAGGATTCGATCAGGGCACCTGTCCCAGACCCTCATCAGTTGTGTCATGTTTGGCTGTGGTTCATCCTGAGCTGACACAGACTTGAATATATGTCAGCCGTGGCAATGTCGATTTCTTGGAACCTCACATGGTGCTTCTGACCAGGCTAGAGAAATTGCCAAAGGAAGCCTTGCACGTCAGTAATAATTTTAAAGAGAGGGAGAGAGAATTGCTCAGAACTTCTCAAGCAGTCCACACCCCTGGAGAAGCAGCATGGAGCCAGGCTGACTGGGTTTGAATCCCAGCTCTATCATTATTTATTGTGTGATCCATGATAAGCTACTTGTTTTTCCATACCTTCCTTTCCTTATCTGTAAAGTGAAGATTGTAGGATCTAATTCTTAGGTCTATTATGGAGGCAAAAGGAGTGAAAGTTTGTAAAACTGTCGCAACAATGCCTGATGTATGGTAAGAATTACATAAATGCTTAAAATGAAAGTTGCTCAGTAAAGCCTTACTCTTTGCGACCCCATGGACTGTAGCCTTCCAGGCTCCTCTGTCCATGGAATTCTCCAGGCCAGGATACTGGAGTGGGTAGCCGTTCCCTTCTCCAAAGGATCTTCCCAACCCAGGGATCAAACCCAGGTCTCACCTGTTGCAGGTGGATTCTTTTTTACCGTCTAACCCACCAAGGAAGCCCATATAAACGTTTAGGATTAACATATACATACTACTATATATAGGATTCCCTTGTAGCTCAGCTTGTAAAGAATCTGCCTGTAAATGCAGGAGACCCCGATTTGATTTCTAGGTTGGGAAGATCCCCTGGAGAAAATATAGGCCACCCACTCCGGTATTCTTGGGGTTCCTTGATGATTCAGACAGCAAAGAATCAGCCCGCAATGTGGGAGACCTGGGTTCAATCCCTGGGTTGGGAAGATCTCTTGCAGGAGGAAATGGCAACCCACTCCAGCATTCTTGCCTGGAGAATCCCCTTGGACAGAGGAGCCTGACAGGCTATAGTCCATGGGATTACAAAGAGTTAGGTACAACTCTTTGTACTCTAAGTACAGCACAGCACTACTATATATAAAATAGATGACCAATAAGGACTTACAGGCAACTATACTCAATATTTTGTAATGACCTATAAGGGAAAATATCTGAAAAGTGTATATATATATTTACATCACTTTGCCGTACATCTGAAATTAAAACAACATAGTAAATCAACTATGGGTGCATACATGCTAAGTTGCTTCAGTCATGTCTAACTCTGCAACCTTGTGTACTGTAGCCCACTAGGCTCCTCTGTCCATGGGGATTCTCCCAGGCAAGAACACTGAAGTGGGTTGCCATGCCCTCCTCCAAGGGATCTTCCTGACCCAGGGATCAAACCCGTATCTTTTATGTCTCCTGCATTGGCAGGGTTTTTTGTTTTGTTTTTACTATTAAAGCCAACTGGGAAGCCCAAACCAACTATACCCCAATTTAAATAAATAAATTATAAGTAAATACATCTTCCTAGAGAAGGAAATGGAAACCCACTACAGTACTCTTGTTTGGAGAATTCCATGGACAGAGAAGCCTGGTGGGCTACAGTCCATGGGGTCACAATGAGTTGGACTCGACTGAACAACTAACACAAATATATCTGCTCAAATTTTATCCAAGTTCTAGTTTCTTACATAGAAACAGGCCTTTAATACTTCTATGGTTTCTCACAAGATTTTAGTTCTCTTTTTAATTTCCAATATAAAATGCATTTCACATAGATAAGATCCAACTTAGCTCATTTCAGCTGACTCCTACAGTACATCAGTGAACAAGACACTGGGCTTTGTATAGTGTGGCCTAGCAGGTGAGCCATGATGCCGGCCCTTGAGGACATTGTAACCTAATAGAAGGCATAAGAAACAATGTGATCTTAATCAAGCAATTAATCTCTCTGAGCTTGACTAAATATGTCCTTGTCTATAATGAATCTCAGAGATATCTTCCAGCTTTAACAATTTATAAATCAAATAAACTAAAAGGCTGAAAGCAATGAACTGCAAGAGAAATCCCCTTCATGAAATCAGCCTTATCATGAAGAAGGAGCTTGCATAACTCAATGAAGCTATGAGCCATGCCATGCAAGGCCACCCAAGACAGACTTGTAATAGTGAATGGTTCTGACAAAACATAATCCACTGGAGAAGGAAATGGCAAGCCACTCCAGTATCTTGCTTAGAGAACCCCATGGAGAGTATGAAAAGGCAAAAAGATATGCATGGCAAATAGAAAGGGAAAAATTGGAAGCAGTGAAGGCAAATGGAGAAGAAGGCAGCAGAGAATGAGATGATTAGATAGCATCACCAACTCAATGGACATGCATGCATGCATGCTCAGTTGCTTCAGTCATGTCCAACTCTTTGAGACCCCATGGACTATAGCCCTCCAAATCCTCTGTCCGTGGAATTTTCCAGGC